AGTAAGTATAATTTTTTTGGAGGGGGGGTGTCTGCATGAGTACATGAAGACTCAGTGAGAAGCTAGGGATAAGTGTAGGGTCTATAGCTGTGATAGTGAACCTATGGCATGTGTGCCAAAGGTGGCATGCAGCGCCTTCTCTGATAGCATGCGAGCCATTGCCCCAGTTCAGCTCTGCTGCGCATGTACGCATGCCTCCCGCCGGCCATCTGGTCTTCGGGTCTCCGCTGTGCATGCGTGGGGACCACATGCATTGCATTTTGGGGGTTTGGGTGCGCTTTGGGCATGGCCCAGAAAAAGTTACCATTCACTGGTCTATAGGCAACAGCCAGCTTTGAGGCTTTAGGATGCCTCCCCAGATTTAGTATAATGCATGAACCAAATTACCAATATTTACTCTTTTATGAAATCTTTTGTTATGACCCCAACTGTATACATCTGCCTGGAGCTGTTTTTTGTGAACTGTGTTTTACAACTAACCCCATATCAACTTAACTGAATTGAACTCTCCTTGGAACAAAATTATTAACATACATGATTTCTACAGAAAGACTGCATGCCAGATAAAATGGTGACTTCTATGATTCCAAGACACTGGCTGTGTTGAAGAAGTGAGTTGCAATATTAATTGTTTCTTTGAAACACTGAATCTGTACAACTTGGGTGTATGTTGCTTTCTATTTATAGGAACATTTGTTTCACTTGATTTCCTGGTTCCAGAGCTTCCACTGCCCTATACAGTCTTTTAAGGGGAAAGGTGGTTTGATATCTGAATGGCTTTTGTTTTCTGTGACATGACAAATGCATACAACACAAAGTAAGAATACAGATGGGCAGGAAAAAATAATTTCATTTCCCATATGCTTGGAGTAGGACAGAGCAGTGGCTCAGTGGTTAAGACACTGGGCTTGTTGGCTGAAAAGCCAATAACCCAGACTTGAGGCCTGAGTGCCTGTTCTGCCCCAGCTACGGACGCCAAAGAACGCAGCACACACAAAGTCTGTTCAAACCTTAGTTTACCAAATAAACCAGTTTTTTTACAACAATGGCTGTTAATTAACTGCATTAACAGCTGCCAAGAATTCAAAGAATAATACTGAAAGCTTACTGTTGTTGGCAGAATGCCCAGAAGCAATTTGCAGGAAGCTGATAAGCAATACAAGACACGAAGGTATGTGAAGTTGTTCCCTGCAAATTGCTTCAGTCGGCGTTCCTCCTTAAATAGGTTAAGAGAGTGGCCAATTAGCCCCAAGCCTTACTCTCGAGGAGACCTCCTCCTGAGGAGCCACTCCTGCCTTTTGGCAGCTCTGCATGCCCATGCATCGAGAAGAGGCTCCTCCTCTTCATCCTCTTCACTTAAGGGAGCTTCTGGAGGTTCTGAAGGCCCTGGCTGAATCCCCGCCTCTGGCACCACATCTTCTCCAGCCTCCTCATTGTCTGAGTGCCAGCTGCCCAGGCTGGCAGCACAGCACCACACCAGCCTCCTTGCTGTCGGAATCAGCTACTAGCTGCACAGGCCGCTGAAGGGCCACAACAGTGCCATGCCACAGGATTAGCTCCTGTCCTCACCCCAATTCCTGCCAACCTAGTAATTTGAAAGTCTGTAGAGATTCTTCATTATCCAGATCACGGTTATCTCAAAGTTGCTTTTTTTCAGGAGGCAACTGGAGTTTCTTGTTTTTTCTTTTGAAGACATTCTTCTTCAGCTGAAGCTGAAGAAAATGTCTTTTCTTTTGAAGCGAAACGTCTTCAAAATAAAAAACAAGTAAGTCCAGTTGCCTCCTGAAAAAAAGCACCTTTGGGACATGGTAGTTTGAAAGCATGCGAATATGAGTAGATAAATAGGTACCACTTTGGTAGGAAAGTAACAGCACTCGTTATATCATGCTGGCCACATGACCATGGAAATGTCTTTGGACAATGCTGGCTCAATGGCCTTGAAATGGAGATGAGCACCACACCATACAATCTGCAATGACTACCAGAGTAAAATCTGCAGGGACTCCTTTTTTTTAACCTTATACATGGAGTTCAGGGTGAAATACTTGTTGCTACTCTAGGACCTAAGACATATTGGGATGGAGCAGTTAGCCTTCTTATTTTCAGTGTTGCAAGGTTATCAGAAAGGAAGATTGATAGCCTTCAAGTTGCTTTGGTGTATTAGAAACAATGACTGAATAGAAATCAGATAGGATTTAAAAATCCTGTTATAATCACTGGAGAGAATTCTTTTACTCTAAGCGTGACATGATTTAGTGTATTATTTAAAACAGGTCATTGTGTACTTCTTCTCTGCATTGACATATTTCACCAATACCTTTACCCTTTTTAGTTATTCTTCTGCATACCATTGCAATAGTATGTGAACTTGTTTAGTCATGGTAGGAAGATATCAAGTGTTCAGCTGGTATGGAGGCCTTCTGGTAAATCCTGTTTTCCCTAAAGCAAGTCTCTATATAGGATTATGCCCCAAAGTATTCTTTTGTATTATATAGATGTGTTTGGGCTTGTCATATGAAGCTCTCTGCACAAAACTGCATTAAGTCGGGGTTTTTTCTTTTGAATCTGGTTTCTAAAAATGTAATCTTTTTGTAATTCCAGATTCTTTGAATATTTGTATCTATTAGGCTTAAGTTTAGGTTTCTTAGTATTATTTTGGGAATGTAGGCAAAACTTGTCCACATATTTGCTTTACCTATTGTAGTTTCTTGGGCTTGACAACTCTTATATAAAACGGTGTATAATAATGGCACTAATGTGATGCATTTCCTGTGTTTTTTCTAATTAGCTTTAAATGTTATTTAGTGCAGATGAGTAAAATTAGTCAATTGCGGCTAAGCAAATTATAGCTTAGACATGTCAGCTCATCTATGCACACCTAGATTTAGGGAATCTATAAAAATATTTGTTTCTCTAAAAACAAGGGGGTGGGGGAAGGGCACGCTAGATATCTCCATCTGTACTCAAGCAGAATATACTAAGTTGAAAGTGCCAGTAAGACACTAATAACTTTCTACTAACTGATAGGTCAGGTCAGGGTAATTGATATGCCCTTCCAGGTTCTCAGTCCTTGGAAAAGTGAGGTCCATAACTGTATTCATTTCTAAATACAAAATTAATGTACACTAAAGAACAGCATTAATTATGAAGTACAGAATCATAATTATAATTAGACCATCTTTCATATGATTGGTGATAAATCTGTTATAGATTGGCTATAAACCATTGATAGCAACTTTGGTTGACAGAATTTTTAATTTTTTTAAATTGTGCACAACATAGTTTGAAATCTTTCTGGCATTTCCTTTTATTAAGAAAATTTTGGTTTGAATGAGAGCACAATACTTAGTTTTCATTTATTTTGTATGACATGGTAGTAATTTACTACATTAGTCTCTTCTTCTCTGGTAATCTACATATTAAAATATGCATTAAAATATACATATGCACCAAAACAAATTCCTTATATGTCCAATCACACTTTTTTTTTTATTTATATGCCGCCCTTCTCCGGAGACTCAGGGCGGCTTACAATGCGTTAAGCAATAGCCTTCATACTTTTGTATATTTATACAAAGTCAGCTTATTGCTCCCACAAACTGGGTCCTCATTTCACCTACCTTAGAAAGGATGGAAGGCTGAGTCAACCTTGAGCCTGGGGAGATTCGAACCAGCAGTAAATTGCAGGCAGCTGTGTTAATAACAGGGTGCATAGACCACTGTACTATCAAGGCTCCTTTGGCCAATAAAGAATTCTATTCTATTCTATTCTATTCTATTCTATTCTATTCTATTCTATTCTATTCTATTTCTATTCTATTCTATTCTATTCTGAAACTAAAGGTTCCATTATTGCTGGTGGATGCCCTTGCTGACTAGTATGTGTGCTTTTCCTTCACTTCTACATATTTCTTCATTTGCAGTATCTTTATAAAAACTGACCTGTCATTTTACTAATTGTAGAACTGCATATTACTTTTTGATTCACGATAAATTACTCTGTAATTTTGCTATGGAAATTTTTTCCCCATAATATAAACAAAAGGTGAAGACAAGCCCCCCCTCCCCATGTTTTTAATAATCAGTATTTTTAAACACACAGGATAACTTGACCCTTGCTTTCAAGTATCTCTTATCAGTTGGGTTCTTCCACTATCTTTTGCCATTGCCCCACCACCTCCATGGTGTACGGGACTAGCGAAGATGGGTATATGAGGGGGTCCTCGGTGCTCTCTGAACTCGCTTGTTTTCTTGCAGATGTTTCATTACCCAAACTAGGTAACATCACCAGTTGCTAGTTCAGATGGGTGTAAATACAAAAATATATAACACAGCAGGCCTGAACCACAAGGGTTTTTTCTGTTTTTTATAATTATAATAACGACAAAGCTCCCGTCTGCCTTATCTCCGTTCCCATTGTGCAACGCAGAGAGGCACACACTTGGCTTCTCAACGAAAATCTTGTGTCGTTGCAAAATGTCGAAAGTGTGAGGAAAACGCTCCTGGCAGAGAGCTCCAGCGAAAGAAAAAAAAGCAAGCTGTGGAGTCCAAGGAACGGGGCCTCTCGGGCTTACAAGAAAGGCACCTCTCGCCGGCTGCGCCCACCCCCACTTCTTGAGACAAGCGTCCGTTCGCACCCGCCCTTCGGCTTCCCACCGCAGTCGGAGGTCGCTTCATCCCCTCGCATTCCTGAGCCGCGCTCGCTCCTTGCTGCTCCACATTATCTCCCTTCCCGCCCACCCCCCGGTTCTCCTTTTGTTTTACTATCAGGCGAGAGTCTCGCTTCCTGTCGATAGCGGAATGTTGTGAACGGGCGAGAGAACCGCCACCTTCGCTCGCTTGATCTGCCCACCGTAGTGGAAGCCTTAGTCGTCCCTCGTTTTCCTGGGAAGGAAACGTCCCGGAGCTCCTTCGGACCGGAACCCTTAAAGAGGCCTGGATTGCAGCTTGGCGAGACGGGGAGGGAGGGAGGAGAAAGCAAAGGGTGGGTGGTGGGTGGGAGGAGGGCAGCGTCGAAACTGGGACTCCCCGCCCTCTCCGGCGGGAAGCGTCAGGTGCAGGTGCGGACAAAGGGGAGCCTCGAGAGTCCGCCTAGGCGCAATGGTGGACGCCGCTGCCTGAAGGCCGCCTTTGTTGTCCCCGGGGCCGATGGCTGAAGCCTGGCGACTAGAAGAAGACGAGGAGGAGCGGAAAGAGGGGACCAGAAGGCACCGGAGAGCGCTTTTGAACCCGGCGACAGGTAAGCCGAGGAGGAAAGGAGACCGGTATGGGCGGGCGAGAGGGAACTTCGCCCGCCGGAGAACTCTGCCCGCGCTGCCTGCTTAGCCGAAGGCGGGGACGAGTGAGTGCCCGGGGAAACCGAGCGCCGCTGGATTGGGGATCAACATTTACAACCCAGACGGAGAGCGTCCTCCATATATAGCCATTCGGTGTCGGGGTGTTGGGGTGTGTCAGAAAGCCCTGCAGATCGAAGAGATGATCCTGGGGGGCTTAAGAATCTATCTTGATTCCACCGACGGGCTTTTATATCCGAGTTTAATTTTCTCCCCAGCACAATAGCCTACGTACAGCGTAAGGTCACTCGCTGTTGTTTCTCCTCCTTCTCAGTTTCGGTTATTCTGTCTATGCCACCTCGCAGATATGCTGTTGGACCCTGTCAAAAGGAAACGTGGAGGTCTTTGGGTTTTTTTTTTTTCCCCTTGATAAAGCAGTTTTACCAGTTCCTGTTTGAACGAGGAAAGGATGGGTTTTTGGATGGCTTGAAGAGCTACCATTACATCATTGTAATGCTGTGGTAACAGCTGGGAGTTGTCATGTATCTTTGGTATTGTTGGGGTTTATATTTTGGACCTGCTCAGAGTTAGTTGGAAACTTAACTTTATGGTGATTTCAATAAAGCTTTGGTTAAAGAAACTATGGCTTAGTGTGAAGCATAAACCCAGATAATGATGTCCAGAGTCCTCCATGTATTCTGGGTTAGTGGAAAAAGCAAACAGCTACCTTTCTTTACACCCTTTCTTATCTCACAATGAATTAAGAGGCCATTCACATAACTCATGGTTGGGTAAAAGGAAGTAAGTTTCAAAGTTTAATATTTAACATTTCTGATAATGAAGTAATTACACACACACATTAATGATAGGACATTTTATAAAAGTACTTTTCTTTCTAAAAAGAGGAGTGATAGCTTCTTGGTAGGCATGAATCTTTGTGCAACAAGTGTCATGATTTAGTTCCTCAGTGATCTCCTGGGAGGATTGGGAATTGATGAAAGCGTTGCCAGTCCACATAAAATGGATAATAATGAACAATATAAATCAATGCTTTAGCTTAGTTTCAGGAAGCTTTTTAAATTCCTGTGGTACACAATACTTATCAAGTCTTTATAAAAAGGGAGGGAACCATCTCCTCTGAGACTTGGCATACTTTAAACTTGAGTTGGACTGCTTACTTTGCAAACTTCCTGAATTATCAGCCGTGTCATTGTGTTTGCAAAGCACTAAAATGTTCTGTGTTAAAGTGCTATCTTCCCTCCTCACCCTTTGCCTGAAAATTTACTAATCCGTTATCCTCACAGATTATCTGCTGGCCATTTTTTGTACATTTCAGTTGTATAGGAGCTGTGGAGTTTCACAAGCGTTCAGTAAAGATATTGCATGCAATATTTGTCATATATACCATTTCATTTGAGGCATTTTTTTTGTTTTATACATATTACACCCTCCTTGCAGATAGGTATGAAATACAGGTAGATGTCACTTAGCATCCATTCATTCGGCAACTATTAATGTTACAGTGGCGCTGAATGAGAGGTACTTACTATGGGTCCTCATAGTTTTGGCTGTTGCAGTGGCACACAGTCTCATGATCACCATTTGTAACCTCTACTGCTGACTAACAAACAAAGACATTGGGGAAGCTGGCAGGAGGTCACAAACAGTGATAACATAACTGGGGGGATGCTGCAATCACATGGAATTCAATTAACAATGGCAGTTGAAACTGCCAGAATGTATCTGGAGAATATCAGGAGTCAAATAAGATACTAGGTGGCATTATGTTATTGTGGGATGGACTTTGTCTATATTTGGGACCTGGCTGTGTGTATTTAAGTAGTCATATATTAACTGGATTAATATTTATTTTTGATAAAAAGTTGCATCATACAAATGGAAAAAGAGATCGGATAGAGAGAAGAGTTATTGGCAATTTGTGCTGCTGATTTCTCTGTTACAGTTTAAAATCATCATCTCTGATAGTCTTGTTGGGTCTCAATTTGCTGTTAATCAGTGCTAGTTCTGGATATGGAATTGAAATTATCCTGATTGCTTTCATGCACAACCATGGTATCCTTCTAAACCAGGGGTGTGAAACTTGCGTTATCCTGTGACGTATCATGACTTTTTTCCCCTTCACTAAACCGGGCATGGGCATGGCCAGCGCATGACACATCCAGCCCACAGGCTGCGAGCTTATACTCCTGTCCTAAACTATCTAAGAGAGTTAGGAATTAAAGACATTGGATTACAGTGTTACACTTCATCTAGAGTGGGTAATTCAAAATAATATTAAGCAGGGCAGAGTATATCATATCCCATTTGTGTATCCTATACTTTCCCCCATATTATATAAATGGCACCCCTGAATACAGTAGATTGTTGGTTCAGATGAGGCAGCATCAATATATGGGTGACATCAGGGGTGAAATGTAAAATTTGTTACTACCGGTTCTGTGGGCGTGGCTTGGTGGTGGTGGGTAATGTGACTAGGTGGATGTGGCCAACTTTGGGCTTTCTGGCACATTCTTTTATTTATGAGGGAGAATGTCCCATTAAGAAATAGGTCAATGACTTGATGGTCATTACAGTTAATTTTAGAGTCACAGTTACAGTTAGAATTGGAGATGGAGTTTATGAAGGAGTGGTCTTTCCCTGCTGCCATTGGTTGTGGCCCCAAGTACAGATGGAGACTTTAGTGACCATAACACACATACTCTTTATTTGTCAGTTAAACCAGGGTAACACTCTTCATCTGAAGACAACTTGAAAACTTCATGCACTGGGCCATAAGCTATGAAACAATGTATTACCTATACTTGGATGCTCCATAAGCTAGCAGTATATTTCTGGTAAAATGTTGGTCATTGTCTATAAAACCCTAAGTGATGCTTCAAAGTTTGTGTCTCCTTTTGAATTTTCAATATCTTTGCATAAGTATGATATAAAACGTGGTCTATACTTTACCCAAGTAAAAAAACCTAGATATTGCAGGCTACTTCTGCTGACTGCCAGCTGCCAGCAGTTGGACAGTTTGAGTCTCACCAGCTCAAGGTTGACTCAGCCTTCCATCCTTCCGAGGTCAGTAAAATGAGAACCCAGATTGTTGGGGGCAATATGCTGACCCTGTAAACTGCTTAGAGAGGGCTATAAAGCAATATGAAGCAGTATATAAGGCTAAGTGCTATAAAAAGAACCCAATTAAACAAATGAATCAAAAATATTAGATTTGTTTATTTATTTATTGAGAAAAATGAAACATGCAAAAGGGTTCACAAATTTTTAAGCACCACTGTATATTATTTATGCCCAAGAAACCCAAGGCCGCCTCTTTTAGAGGGAATCTGCTTGTCCTGTTCAATCAGCCCAAGAGGCATGCTGTAAATCAGGGCTGTCAAACTTGCGGCCATAGGCGTCACATTCTGGCCACGCCCGGTTTAGCAAAGGGGAAAAAAGTCATGATATGTCATATGACGACGCAGGTTTGACACCCCTGCTCTAAGTTCACCTTCCAGGAAATTTAAAGGGTGGAAACAAGCCTAGAAGCAAGTCTTTTTGCAGCAGTGCCCCTCACCCCATACCACTTTATGGAATATACTTGCCCAGAAATTCATACAGTCCCTGCCTGCTTTTCAGTTTGGAAGCCCATGAAATCACAATACGTGGAGTGTAGAGCTACAACATAAGCCATCTTATACCTAAGGTGTTTTAATGATGATTTTTAGTTCATGTTATGCTTTTACTATTTTCTCATGTAACCTTATTATATGGGTAGTATATCAAATTATAGGATCAAACTATGTATATGGCTATCTTCATTGTTGTGGTGCAACTACTTTTATTACAACGCACATGCTTTGTTCTTAAATGTCAGAAATGTGTGTTTTGATATGTGACAAGAGTGCTAGGTAGATAGTTTTACATTCTAGTAGGCATTTGAATTCATTGTTCCTTATTTTCCCGTCACTTTCACTACTTTGACTTTACAATTGACCGCATTCCCCAGTAGTCAGTGAGCATGTATGCATTGAATATATCAAAAGCAAAAGATTATCCCTATAACTTTTCTTTAGGCAAAAGAAGTCAGTAGGAAGAATCTGTTCAAGTCAGCTGGTTCTCGCTCACGTACTGTTGGAATAAATTAGGGATGGTAACAGAGGCTCTTTGACTATTATCTATCGCTGCTTGTCCTTGGAAATGAACCAGCACCACTAAGCACAGTGCTGTTTTAATTTTACAGAAAAGTACTTGTCTGTTGGTATTTGTACCAAAGGACACATGGAGCTACAAAGAAGTTGCAGTTTTTCACTAACTGTAAAAACCATGATCTGTAAAAAAATACAATTCTTAACACAGAATGAAAAATTATTTTTTAAAAAATCCAAAGATAAAGAGGAAAAAGCAGTTTCTTTCTCTGAAACAGACAAATGAGTAAAATTGAAATACACAAATTTAAGCTAGAAATTCAAGTTGTTGTTTTAAGCATATGATTCTTTTCCTGATGAGCTTGGACATTCACATTTATGTAGATATTTATGTCAGAAAGCCACTCCTATGATGAAAGCAAGTAAATGCATAATACGTTCAGCAAAAGTTTAGAAAACACATTATATAAATACTGTAAATTCCTTATGTCCCTTTTGGTAATCTTACAAGAATAAAGTGATAGACATGAATTTAACATAGGCAAAAATATTATTACAATTAAGATACTAATATAACTTTGTACACTGATTAATATCTGTTTCATTATAAATTTCAATTTAATTTAAAATAGTTTAGGGTAAACCGATAAAGTAGTAGGGAAATTCTAAAACTTCTGGCTAATAAGCACATTTGGAATTTGGAGAAATTGTATAATCATCATGAAAAGTGACTATTATGGTGAGAATACTGCCATTCATGAACTACTTCAGAAAAATGCATACAGGCTAAAAAAATGTATTCTCCAAGTTCACTTATT